AAGCATAATTAGAAGTTAGAACATGTTATTAGATACGCTACCTTGGATTTCTAATTGTTTGCTTGTCTATGTTTTAGATTTGTTTGTGAGGAAACGGTGGAAGAGAAGATCTTGCAGCTTCAAGAGAAAAAGAAAGATTTGGCCAAACAGGTTCTATCAGGATCTGGAGAATCTGTCACCAAGCTGACCTTGGCTGACCTCAAAGTCCTTTTTGGCATCTAACTTCCTTTGTAGAGCTCAGAAGGGTGCCACTGTCGGTGTGTATTAGGATCTGGGAGAACAGCCTAACCATGGTCCTTTGGGCTCTCCTTGCATTCCATTCCACCTTCACGCCTTCTGCTCCCTCAAGTGAGGCATACTCTAACCCCCAGCACTGAGTGAGTGGCACAAACCGATTAGTGGCCTCAGATGAAAGAAAATGGCTTAGTGCTGGATAACTTTGGAAAACAACTCTGGGAGGGTTGTGCGTAAGCTTCAGGAAAAGCTCCGTTGCCTTTCTCTTCTCAGCTGATGGGGGACCTAGTGTTGCTGCCTTTCTAACAGCTCTTCCTCTCTCCTGCCCATGAGGCCGCTCCTATAACCTCTTTATGGGCCAAGCAGAGAGCACCTTACTCCCATTCCTCTGCAGTGGTCTCACTCCCAGGCCCTTCTCCCTCTCAGGGTAAGATCAGAGGTGCGCTATGCGTCATTTTGTATTGCCATCATATCATGTACTATTTGTGTCATAATTTAGTATTTTTATCATTTTTATAGTATTTGTATTTTTACAAATCTACAGTATTCATAGCATTTAATATTGTTGTGTTAGTCTTTGTACCATTGTATCATTTAGCATTGGTAAAATCTAATGTGTTTGACAGTGTAACAGAAATAATGCTGTTTTCATTAAACTGAGTTTTCTTTCCTCCTGGGTTCCCAGAGAGACTACATTTCCCAGTCTTTACTGCAGTTACATGAGTCATATTATTGAGTTCTCACCACGGGAATGAGGACAGAAGTGATGTAAGTCATTTTTTAAAAATCTTTCCTCTAAAACTTTGCAAGTGATTCTTCAGAGGACCCGATGGAAGGTTACAAGGCCCCAGAGAATTGCAAAGCCTCTAGATTAGAGATTCGTACCCTGGTTGTTGGCCATGGATCCTTTTGGTTCCTGAATGACTGGGACTAAAGTCTTCCCCATATGTGCCTCCCTTCTCACCCCAGCTCACCCACATTGGACTGTGACATGGTTTTTTAAGGCACAGAAATTTTAGGGTTGTTTATATAAGAGTTAGTACCCTAATACAAACTCTTTAGACTTTTATACTTTGGGAAACTCATCAGATTTCCTTCTTCCCATTAGCAGCTGTTTCCAGAACACTTACTGTGCTAATGGTGCTGGAAAGAATTGAGTTTTCCCTAGATAGACCCTCCTTTGAGTTGGGAATAGGAAACGAAATCCTCTGTTAACCCAGCCGTGGTCTGGACAGGGGCATTGGAACCTGTTAAAGCAAAAATGCCTTTCTAGGACAAGCATGTTAGAGGAACATAGTCGGTGTTCGTTCCAAGCACTGGTTAGGACAGAGGAGATGTTGAAGTCCAAGTATTCTTGCTTTTGGTCTGGAGAGGAATGAAGGGATTATAGCCGACAGTATTTTTCTAAGGCCTGCAACGGAATCGACAGTATGGCCTGGTAGGAAGGGTTCGGTTTGGAACTTAGACTTAACTCCAGTCCCAGGTTCACCGTAGCTGGGGGTGTAACTTTGAAAAGAATCCTTCACTTCTCTACACTTTGGTTTCCACATTTGTAAGGTGGGTATTGTTTTCAGAACTCAACAACTACAGTGCGGTCGCTGATAAAATCAGGAACGTAAGATTACCCTCCTGGAGTTATGCTATAAGATCAGCACACCAGGGCACAGATAAGTGTCATCTGAGCAGCAGTGGCTCCCAGGCCAGCAAGAGCTTACGAACCCTGCCTCTTGCTGATGGTCTGATAATAGGCTGGTTACATATTCCATGTCCATCTCCATTCTGTTATCTATAAGATACCTAGATTAGCATTTGGCCCAGTGTGCTCGACTGGGAATTCACTAACAGATACACCTGCTGTAACCCCTTTGACTAGCTGGACAGTGGGTTGTCATCAGAAAGCACGTTAGAGGAACATAGTCGGTGTTCATTCCAAGCACTGGTTAGGACAGAGGAGCTGTTAACTTGGAAGTCTAAGTAACAAGGCCAAGAGGGAAATGCCTCTTCCCCATTCTGCTTTCAATTCGCATTCACTTCACCCAACCGTCTCTTCACTGAGACAGACCTAACACATAGGTGTACAGCCTCTGCAATGAAGCTGAGCGACTTTCAGAGATTAGGGTGGATGGGCTGGCAGGTGTAACGTGTACGCTTGTTGCCCAAGACAGCCGAGGTGTTTATCCTGTTACAGTACCCCGGGGAATGAGGGCTGTAATTATGGCTCCTTTTTTTTTATCTGTTAGCACCAGAGGTATAACTTACATCATAATACTGCATCGTGTGGATGCTTCGGTGCTCACAACTCAAAGGTGACTTCTGAAGCACTCTGTTACCCTAGGGGACAATTCCTAAATGCTCAGGCTTTTTACCCCTTACCTTGGAGTCTTGGGCTCTGCAGCTCACTCATCCTTGCCAGATTTTTCAGCTGGCAGGGCAGCTAAATTAAATTGAGGGTAGATTCCATTGTAGCACAGGCCAAGGAACACCCTCGCCCCTACCTGCACAAACTTTCTTAATATCTGTAATGGAACTGTTGCCATTAATATTGCTTAAGGGTTAGGGCATTGCCCAAAAACTAGGTATCTTATAGAAGCTTTCTGTTGCTCTTCTACGGTAGTGTTATCCAATTATTGAAATCTTTTCCAACTGAAATAAGCTATTTATCCTCATTTCTGAAATCTTATTCATTAACAGACTGGGGGGGGGGGAGAGAATGATGTAACTACAATAAGCTTCTTTGTAGCAAGCAATTCCCTACATGTCAGAGGTCATTAGAAAATTTAAGGCTGGTCCCCAAAGTGCATTTAATTTATCCAATGTGTTTGAGAGAGGCCGAGATTTTTTTCTAAGTGGTATATGGTTAAATGGCAAATATTGGAGTTTAGGGAAGTCTGGCTTGTAGAAAGATATGAAGGAGATCCAGACTAAAATTTCTAGCAATCACTTTTTTATTCAGTCAACAAAATATTGATTAAGCTCTACTGTGTGCCAGGAACAATGTAAAATACACAGGGACAATACAGTAGTTAATGCCAAATCTCTGCCTTCATAGAGCTTACAGTCTAATATAAGAGGACAGACAATAAACAAATAGAATATTTATGATAGATGGTGATTAACAAGTAAGGGTAAATGGAATCCTGGTGAGGGGAGGGTTGCTCTTTTATATGATGTACTTAGGGTCCTCTCCAGAAAGACACTTGACAAAGCAGAAATCTGGTGGTGGTGGAGGGGTGTGTGTATGTTTATGTGGGGGTGGTGGTGGTGATAAGGCTGCAAGACAAAGTACTTGGAGGGCTTGAGAGCACCAGGCAGGCCAGTGTGGCTGCAATAGTGATGGGCAGTGGGGTGGACGGGTAGGGAATGGGAAGAGCAGGTGATACAGGGTCTTACATGCTGACATAAGGACTGGCTTTGTTCTGAGTACCATGGGAATCCATTGGAAGGTGTTGAGCAGAAACATGATTGTCTGGCAGGAGCAAGACTGCAGTAAAGGCGTGAGGTTCTATTTCAACACCACTTCCCTTTGTCTGCTTACTACTTTTGTGTCCTTACGAAGTAGTCTTCTAGGCTCGGGGGGTACGAAATGAACGTGGCATGGAGGAGGAGGAAGGGGACTTCCATCTAAACAGCAAGATCACATGACAATCCATTGAATCTGCTAGTGAAAAGTGGATATGATAAAAAGAGGTGTTTATTCCTGTGGGAAATATCTATATAAAATGTACCTCGGAGAAGTAAAAAAAAAAGGTTAATTACCAAAAAGTAAGGAACACGGTGATTGGTGGGTGTACCTCATGTCCCTATTGGTTGCCAGAGGAAATGGTCTTGTAATGTAATGAGAAAAAAAGAATTTTCTAAGACTTGCATGGCAGAATGAGTGATACTTATTGGCGTGGAATTAAACCCCTGAGATTTCAAGGACCTACTTCCCTCTATCCCACCAAGAAAAAAGTCCATTTTGTCTTCAAGCAGAGGTGGGATTAAAGCCAGTGTCCAGAATTTCCACTTCATATTTGCACAGACCAATCCAGCATCAGGCTAGCTGAGCTTGTATTCCTAGCTTGCATCCCATTGCGTGTGGGGTCCCGCATAGCCACGGGCCATGCAGCATCTGGGGCCACGTGTCTATGGAGGGAACATGGGAGAGTGCAGGGAAGCAGGAGCGAAGCAAAAGAAACGAGGAATAAGAAAGAGAATTCCTTTCAGTTTAACCTTAAGATTTTGTGCACTCGCAGTGATTTCACCCTTTAGCCAAGGATTCTGTTCCTAGGTTTGATTGACAGGCAAGCATCTTTCCTACATCACCCCGACTTTACTGCACATGTGTCCATCTTCCCCTCCCCCCAGTGATCTGCAGGGACTGGAACGGTGGTCCCTGGGAGTGTGACATTGCAGCTTCCTGGCGAAGCTGCCCAGATGACCATGCTTATAATGTCTGGCCTCCCTTTTGCTCCTTTCCTATTATTAACTAGATGGTGACAAGAGTAGCAAAACTGTCCCCATGATCTTGAAGTTTAATGTCATAAGTACCTTCATACCCATACAAACAGAAGCCAGCCTCCTGTGACATATAGTGGTGGCGTCTTGTGCTCAACCACCCACACATACAATCGGTGAATAACTCGCAAAAAGTATTTGCGCTTGAGCATCTAGGTAAGGCACTTTGTGTTTAATTCTATCAGTTTCTTCAGAATTAATCGAGGTCCGGGGTCTGGTGATCTGAAGCCGTGCTGGCTGCAGCTTTAGCGGGTTGACCTGGGAAACCGTCAGAGTGCCACCGTCCTGAGTACACTCCTCGCTGCGCTCTGCCCGCCTGTCCACGTGCATTCTGACTTCTCAGAAAACTTCCCACAGCATGACCAGTGGGGACGGCCTGGGTGGCCTTTGTGTCCATGGCCACAGCCCAGGTACCCACCTGTGTCATACAGAGAGGAGAGGGGGAAACACCATCAGGGTGAAGACCAGCAGTACCCATGGACATTAAAGCTCCTGGCAACATTCCAGCTCCTGGATGTGAAAACATCTCATAAAAACCTGGTGAGAGGAACAAACTACCAGATGCCCCTATAGTCAGGACTCCCGGGATTGATGACAGCAAATCAAGTAAGGTGAGCTGAAGTTGTGAGAAGAGTGTTATTTTAACATTGTGCTAACTCAAGGAGATGAGCTGGTTTGGATTTTAATTCTGAAATAATACAGATAAAAGAGTGGTGGAAATAAAAAAGAAGATAGATCCTAAAATGTTTATAGCAAAGGGTGCCAAAGCCACACGGAAGGCCCACCATTGCAGTAAGGACACAATAGAATGCTTCTAAAAACAATTAGATCTCTTGCCTGAGCTGAATCCCACCCCCCCCCCCCCGCCCGGAGAAGAGTCAGACCTGGTTCAGCTGGTTTAATCATCCATGCCCCCGTCCCTACCTCATTTGGGACGTCTTTAACCTTTTACTCGTATAAGGAACAGGATGGGTTAACATTGGTTATGCTGCCAGGTTGCTGGAAAGAGCAGAAACGGGAAACCAAGCTTCCAGAGAGAAGCAGGGCTCATGGGATTGGTGAACTGTATCAAAATGAAAAGAGCTCAGAGCTTGTAAGCTTGCTGTTTCAGTGTTCAGAACAAAGAAGCTTTAAACAAAGTTTTAGAACTGTGGTCCTTGTAGCCACAGACTATATTCTTTCTTTTTATTATGTTAATTCTCACTCAAGAATATTTCTCCATTGATTCTCAGGGAGAGGGGGAGAGGGAGGGAAAGACAGGAAAACATCAATGTGAGAGAGAGACATCAATTGGCTGTCTCCCACATGCTCCCGCTAGGGCCTGGGCCAGGGAGGTGCCTGCAACCAAGATATATGCCCTTGACTGGAATCGAACCTGGGACCCTGTGGTCCACAGGCCACGGTCCATCCACTGAGCCAAACCACCCAGGGCCACAGACTATATTAGAAACGAAGCCTAAGGCGGAACATCCCAAACTTGGTGCCTGTGCTGATTCCCACTGCTGGGAGACGGTCCCAGAGGGGAAGGACTTTCAAGAGCGACTGGCCCTCCTTACCTGGCATGGTGCCCCCGCAGGCACAGCGAGCCGTTTTCTGGCCTCCGCTGGAGCAGAACGTGCAGCAGTGAAACACGCCCGGGTGCGGGTGGTGCTTCTTCCTCACGGTCACAGTGAACGGCGAGCCCTTGGGTGTTCAGACCAAGAGCAAAGAACAGCACCTTACGTGTGAGTCAACAGGATGTGCTGAGCATCCCGTGTGCTAAAGGGAGAGTAAGTCACAGGCCCGCCCAGAAAGGGAAGCACTAGGGGACAAGAGCCAGGAGTCTGCACTGCTCTCCTTAACACCTAGACCACGTGACACACTGGTAAACCCTGTCTGTGCTTTCATGCTACTCACTCGGTCTTAGCGTCTCCGTTCTTGAGCAATCTCGGGTAATTAGTGGAGTGCCATAACCACAGGCCCGGACATCTTGTGATTCTCCAGTTTCTCAGCCTCACACATCCTCCCCTCATATACTGAGCTACCTCCTTCCCTTCCACCCCTCCATCCTGGACATGTTTGTGTACCCACCCTTTTATTCTGGGACAGTGAAGAGATTTACAAGGGAGAAAGGTTAAGAGCGTGGTTATTCATTCTCAAGTTAGAAACTCTCCTTCCTGCCCCTTTTCCTTCAAGGATAACTTCCATTCTCCAGCTGCTAGCCTATGTTAAGCAATAAATATTCAGTAAGTGTTACTGTGTGCCTACCCCTATGTGAACCATGCAAAGTCGAGAGTCTGGCATATTAAAGCCTTTCAGATGTTAAGTCTCTCTGCCTTAGAGAATTTACAATCTATCTTAAAAATAACTTGGAGTTTGCTGAAACCGGTATGGCTTAGTGGTAGAGAATCGGCCTGCGGACTGAAAGGTCCCGGGTTCGATTCCGGTCAAGGGCATGTACCTTGGTTGTGGGCGCATCCCTGTTGGGGGGTGTGCAAAAGGCAGCTGGTCGATGTTTCTCTCTCATCGACGTTTCTAGCTCTCTCCCTTCCTCTTTGTAAAAAAACAATAAAATATATTAAAATAATAATAATAACTTGGAGTTTAAGAAAATGGGGTCAAATTCTGGTTGCTATGCAGGTACTGTATGCTTTGACACATTTGGTGTCTCAGTCTAATCAGATGATGATCTCCATACCTAAAAATGGTTTGGAGGAAAAGTGAAATAAACGTATGCAAAAATACCTAACCCACGCTGGCACACCGTGTGGCAAGCGACGTGTGGCTAGTGAACAATGAATCTTCTAGTACGCGGACCATAGGCCTGACATGTCATGACTCCATGGTATCTGTGTCCCTGTCAGTATTGATTTCCGGTTGGAGGGAACCTCTGATTACTCAAATGTCAGCAGAGAGATTCTGCTGGACATGTTGAGTATGGCCCAAGTTTTTTAAAATTCATCATCTCTAGCCAGAAACTGTTACACTTGTCTGTGGAGGTGGTATAGTAACCATGGTAACAGTTAAGCATCTATGTCAACAGAGAATCACATGGGCAGCAGACAGATGACTAGGCAGTTGAAAGGAGGGTGTATGCCTCCCAATCATATTCCAGTAAGTCCACCATCTGGTCATCGTCCGAGCAAAGCTGGAAAATCCTGAGCCAGATTTTATTTCTTGGGTGTGTATTCTTGCCTGCTAGTAGATTGTCCCCTGTGATTAAGGCATCTTTCCCAAATTCAGAGAGTTCCAACAAGCCAATTGGGAGAGTGATAAAATACAAGCATCACTGCCCACAGGTAAAACGGGGCTCGAGAATTCTTAGGTACAGCATCCTCTGGTAAGAACGAATCACAGAATCTGGGGCATTTCCAAGGGGAAGGGCAGCAAGAAGGAAGAGAATCCTATTCGGCTCCTCTCTACAGCGGATGCTATGAGAAAGGTCTCCACATCCGAAGGCGACAGAACCCATGAGGGCCAGGGCGAAAGGAGCTCGGGGAAGCGTCCGCACAGGCCTTACTCACCTGCACGTGCTGCTCTTTGACGCAGACCAACACCTTGTAGATGCCAGGCTCCTTGGGGGTGTAGGAAACGCCGTAGGTCCCGTCCTTGTTGTCTTGCACTATTGTTCGGACTGGACTGGACGGAGAGAAGAGTTCCAAAAAGCCACTCACTCTCACCGCCTGGCATCATTGCCCACTATTTTAGATGGAAACTACACCATTCAATTCAACCTACTTTTAAATGTCCCCCACACAAGATGCTGCTCCCACCTGTCTCAGAAACTAATTTCACAACAGAGGGAAGCGAAATAAACACCGACTTCATCTGCTGTGTGGATGAGCTCCATGAAGACCTTATGGCTCTGCTGTGCCCTCCTGTACTCTGTCCTTCCCTTCCCTCACCGGCGCCACGTAGCTCAGCTCCCAATACAATTCAGTAGCCAAGTGGGGTTGAATTTTGAGAAGGGCACCTTTCAGTCAAATATAGACTATTTTTCACTCTATTCAAAGCTTGGGATGAAGACAATCGGGCAGATAGGGCCTTTGGGAGAGAATTGCATATAGGCATAGAGCCCAGAAGAGACACCTGGTCCAACTGGCCATATTTTTAGTAGCACCACGGGGAGGCAGACGGTAACCACTGCCGTTACCACTCCACCATTACTTCAGACCTCAAGCTTCCAAAGTCATCGCCCAGGACCTGTGACTGTGTGGTACAAACCTGTCTTTCTTATCTTTAGGGACAACTGCGACTTGGATGTTGTCTCCTCCCCTGCCCATGCCCTCTCCCGCCGCGTCCTTACACAGCAGGGTGAAGGAGGCTGTTTGCCTCTCCCGGGCTCTGTGGAGATCTGCAAGATAAACACAGTCCTCACCTTCATGGCCGATGCGGTGCCTTCCCTCCCCAGGCCATACACCGTCTTGCTTTTTCTCATAGAACAAAGGGCTGTGTGCTTCCTGTGCACGGTGGTCTCCCTGTTCCCTTTCCTCTCTCTTCCCGTTCTGTCTCCCAGCGCCATGTCCCTATTCACTGCCCTGTGCCAACGGGCAGTGCTTCCTTACCTTTTCCTTGAAGGACACACTTGGCTGGATCGACCTCTTTGGTATTGATGGCCCCGTAAACTTCATAGCCACGGCACCGGCCTTTCTCCTGAGGAGAGAAGCAGATCTTGTCGTTGACTCTGGGACGGGCGCTGTACTCGACTTGGTTCAGCTTCGTGAGCCGCTCCACGACCACCCCCTTGGTGATGAGGATCTCCAGGTCGGTGCCGCTGGTCAGCAGGTGCTCGGTGAACTCCACTCCAGTGCGCATGTCCGCCAGCAGCTGCTCCAGCTGGGCCTTCTGCAGCTGCAGGGAGCTCTCCTGCTGCAGCCGGATGTCATCCAGCTGCTTCAGCAGCGCGTCCCGGTGCTCTTCGACGGCCTTGATGTAGCCCTCGGAGAACGTCCGGATGTCGGCGGCCACGGCCTGCACTCGCTGCTGGAGGGCACTCTTCGTGTCTTTGACCTGGGCCAGGGCTCCCTCCAGGGCCTCCAGGCGGGGCTGGGTGCCTTTGAGGAGCTCCCGCACGGAGTCCCCGTGCTTGTGGATGACGTTGCCGGCGAAGTCACAGGGGTGCTCCCGGTGCGCCCCCACCGCGCAGTCTCGGCACACCGGCTGGTCGCACAGCTCACAGAACAGCCTCAGCTCCTCCGCAGGGTGAGCGGGACACAGGATGGCCTTCCCAATCCGGCTGAAGTCCTTCAAGTCCTTGAGGTCCACCATGGTGTGGTAAATCGTTTTCTTCTGCCTCCTGGGGGCAAACAGAGTCGGGAACAGGACATGAGGGAAGCATTCTAGTTGGGAAACAGCCCCGCAGTTGTGAGAGCATGGCCTCTGAAGTCAAACCAACCCGAGATCAGTTCCTGGCTCTAATCTCTGAATAACGACATGATCCTCCCTGACCTCAGGCCCTCCTCTGTGCAGTGGGGACAACACGTGCCTGAGAGGGCTGTTGTACAGAATTCATAGCAAACTAGGGCTCTCTTGCTCAGGACATGGCATTGCAAAAGGCTGTGGCACTAAGTCTACATCTTAGAACTTTCCCCCAAAAGTGAAATCGGCAAGTTTAGACAAGAGCCACAGCCTCCTCCTCCAACTAGAGGTGAGAGGTGAGAGCACAGTGAACACCCAGCCCCAAGAAACAACTGCCCAATGGCACAGCAGTAAACCCCAGGCCACGGAAAAACAGCTAGCTGGCCCTGTAAGCCTCCCTCAGCTTTTATCTAAGGTGTGGGTAGAGTTATCAACATTAGAAAGAGGGAAATCAATGATCAGAAACAAAGCTCTTAGCATCCCTCTTCTCTGTAGCTCTCCAGAGACTCAGGGGAACTCCTGGGAAGCCATGGTGCCTGTTGGGCAGAGGAGTGGCTGTAGAGAAAATAGGGTCAGCTGTTCAGCTGGCAGCAAGACAGAGTTACAAGTTAAAAATAGACCGAAGACTCCTAACTTGTTCTGTGGGTGAGGCCAGAGAATAAATGGAAGGCAGAACTTAAAAACTACCTGAAGCTAACCCTAAACTTTGAGTTATTTTATATTCTAATGTGTTGGAATGAGCACCTGTGACTTCACCATACACTGGGAAGCCAGCATGGACTAGCAGGAAGCAGATCTGGATTGAAAAGCCAGTTGTTATATGTTACTTACCAACTGTGGGCTATGGGAAATTATATATGGAGGAGCTTGTTTCCCTAATAAAGAGGAAGCAGTGCCTACTTTTTTTTTTTTTTTTTTTAATAAGACGGGCAAGGATCAAATGAGATCTAGGCAGGAGCTATGCTATTGTATTCATTCTCTTTCTCCAGCACCCAGTGCCATTCCCCAGCATACAAATGATCGATGAGCCACGGACCCCGTGGACGTGCTTTGCCAACAGAAAAGGACTATGCAAGCCTGGGATGCTGTTATTGCTGTGGGTATTGTCTAAGGTGACAGGAAGATACTACCACTCTATATATTTGCTCTCAGATTGTCGGTGGCTCTTTGACCTCCTTGTGGCATTTGAGAAAGCTTTCCTTCCCTTCTGCTCACCAAGGAGGGATGTGTCTCAACACCTCTTTCTCCTTTGCTCCTAAGCCACACCAGGTGGGGTAGCCCGTTGTTACCTATGCGCCTGGCAGCAGAAATGGCACAGATTGGCTTTGCAGGTCTGACACCTCTTCTCCACGTCCCTGTCGCTGCACAGGTCACACACGGGGCCCTGGCCTTCCCCACGCAGACTCTCCAGCATCACATCATTCATGGCCAGGTGGTCTATGGTTAAAGCTTTCACTCCGCCCATGGGCAGGTCCACCTGAGCATCACATACTGGGCAGAGGATGCCGGTCTGCGGCTGCCGGCAGGGTGGCTTGAGTGCCTGGAATAGTGACCCCTCAGAGCTTGCGTCAGAGTCTCCCCCTCGGATGTCCACTACTGAGAAGGGTTCCAGCCGCTCCAAACAGGTGGTGCAAACTGTGTGCAAACAAGGCAGGAGCCTGGGCGCTTGGAAAAGCCCCATGCACGAAGGGCAGTGCGTCTTGCCAGAGTTCCCAAGGGCAGGCCCACTGGGGAGTTTGCCCATGAAGCCCAGCAGCGGCTTCCTCTTTTCTGACATATTCCCCACGTCTATGCCCAGTATCAGAAAAGGCCCGGGGCAGTTCTGTAAGGAAGTAGTTGATTAAGCCCACCCAAAGAGAAAGCTCCCAGCACGGGAACAGAGACCATGGGGAACCGCTCTCCAACAAATAATCAAAGGGCAAACGGGGAGAGGATTCCTCCGAGGAAGGACCCACGGCTCTGCTCAGGAGTGCCCCTTCCTTTCCACGGCATCCCATGCCAGACACACCCACGCCTGCCTCTGCCCCCCAAATCCTCCCCGGAAGCGCTTCCAGGTCTAGGTCAGGCGTTAAGTCTCTGGCTGCCTCCTCCTGAACCTATCCCTGCACCTCTCAACCCCACCCACCCCCACCCTTCCCTCCCGCCCCACTGGTGCCCCGCCCGACACGCGACAAGCGCCCCCTTTGCCCCCCGTGATGAGGTAGGGGGCCTCCCGCTCTTCCCCTCGACCCGGTCCTGGGGGGGAGGGCACACAGCGGGCCGGGATGAGGCGAGTCCGCACCAGCTCCTCAGCGGCCGCAGCCTCCCCAGGTTTGGACCCCAGGTGCTGGAAGGCCCCGGCCACTCTTCGCACCAATCCCAGCCCTCCACTCAGGAGCGTCCAATCACCGCCCGAGAGGGGCGGCCCGCCCTCTAGATGGACACCACCGACACCCAATAAGCTCTGGAAATCCCACATCGCCTGTCCACTCAGGCGGGGAGGGGAGAACCAAACAGAAGGGCGGGGCGGTGGGAGGGCTCGGGCCTCGCTGATGGGGAAAAACACACACAAAAAAAAGCAAGGTGGGGAGTGAGCGGCATAGTAGAGCCAGCGTCACCATTTTACGGGGATTGTCCTCTTTATCCCTGTGGTGACAGAGAGGCCAGAGGACCACTTGACAGGCCTCGGAGATGGCCTCCTTGGCGCGCTCAGGAGGGTCCCACCAGCCCAGACTGGGCCCTTCCATTGGCGGGTGGGGCTGTCAGTCAGGCCGGGCATGCTGGGAGTTGTAGGACGAGACATTTCCCTGTTTCCGGATGTGGCGGCGGAAGTTTCCCTTCAGGGCCTAGAGTGCCCGCAGGTGGGCCTCTGGGGCCCGCTGGCACCGGGCACTTTGTGGGACCAAGGGCCCCGCCCCGGGGCTGGAGAAGCGGCCGTTTCTCCAGGCGTGGAAATGACCTAAGGAGTTGAGTGTTTGTCGCTACAGTTAATGCCTGACACGGAGCAGGTTTGTCCCGCTGTTTTTGCCAGGCCCTCCAGGAGGGCCCGCGGCCGGTCACAATGGGAGAGTGGAGGATGCCAAGGAAATGAGCCCTTTGTGGGCTCACAAGCTAATCGAGCAGATGAACTCACTGAACACCCTCGAACATGCCCGTGTTTATTGGTGCCCTTACCAGTCGTCTCCTGGTTCGGCCATGTGGCGCCTTTGCTGTTCCTGGGCCCTGGAGCCTCTCTCCCCAGAACTCCACACGTGGCAGCACCGGCTCCTCACCTCCGCCCCCTCTCTGTCTCCACCGCTTAGGCCCTTGTAGGTCCCATCTTATTTTCTTTGTTCATGGCCTTCTCTCCATTGACTTGGATCCAAGGAACAGCTGTGTCATTGATGTCTTTCTTATCCGTCTTAAGCCAGAGCACAGGCTTTTAAAAATACGATAATCTGAAAAACAACAGCAACAACAAAACTTGTCGACTCCAAAATATGAAGAAGAAAAAAACACACCTAATTACAAAAATTTGAAATGTTTAGCCATTTCCAAAATAAATACAACCCGTCAATGAGTCCAATGCCACTTATACAGGGTGAGGCAAATGTAGCTTTACAGTTTGTATGGGAAAATAATACAATAATAAGTAATAATACCAGAACAAACTGTTTCCTATACTCAACTGTAAACCCTCTTTGCCCCTTGTGTATAAAAATGACACGTGATTTCCAAAAGTAAGCATGCCTCCAAGAATTCTTACCTAGATTTCTTCATCTACCCTGACTCAGAATCTGCTTTCTCCGTCCCGGTGTGCTGGAGTTGAGTCACACAAACTGTGCAGACTTGGGCTTGCTATATATTCCAGCTTGAACTTCACCTTCACCTGATGGCTTGGCGATGCTTCATCTCTTATTCATGCCCTATCCCATTTCCCAGGTGGGTGTCCCGAGCTTCTCTTGTTTAAGAAGTGCTTTATAATTTACGTTAGCGTTATCTTGTTTGATCCTTGAACAATGCTTTGAGGAAAATCTCAGAGAAGTCTGGTGGTCAGCCCAGGTAATAAATACATCAGAAGACTTGTACTCAGTCTTAAAATGCCTTTTCTAAGATTTTACCCCAACCACCTCTTTCTTTTCCTTTCCCAGTTTGTTACGCATCTCAGTAGGTTCTTAAATTTTTTATTTTTATTTTTTAAAGATAAAGTATTTACCCTTTAATTGAGTGAGAAAAGCAAAGCTACTTGGAGAACTTTCTTATTTTCTACTTAAAAACATGATTTATCATACCTCCTTTTTAAAAAAAAAATATATTTTATTGATCTTTTACAGAGAGGAAGGGAGAGGGATAGAGAGCTAGAAACATCGATGAGAGAGAAACATTGACCAGCTGCCTCCTGCACAGCCCTCACTGGAGATGTGCCCTCAACCAATGTACATGCCCTTGACCGGAATCAAACCTGGAACCTCTCAGTCCACAGGCCGACGCTCTACAACTGAGCCAAACATAACTCCTTTCATACCCTTCCTGCTTGCCTATCTTCTGTTGTAAGGTTAACCCCTCAAGACCTTTGCTCTTGAATCCCAGCCTCCTCAAAACCTTGCTGCTTCTACATTTTCAATCTGTTCTTTTAAAAAATGTTTTTTCAATTGCAGTTTATGCTCAGTATTATTTTGTATTAGTTTCACATGTACAGCATGGTGGTTAGAGACAATCATATACTTTACAAAATGTTTCCCCTGATATTTCCCATGCCCAACTGGCACCATAAATATTAATTATGATATTATTGACTAGATTTCCCAGATTGTACTTCAGGTCCCCATGAACTAGTGTGTTCTTCCGCCAATAATTACAAGCAAGTGGAAAAGGGGGAAACAAATCCCCCATTGGCCCCACTGCTTTTCAGCTTAACTTCCATGACTCTCGGCTCTACATTGCTGAGTCGTCTCACTCTCTGCTGTCATCATCATCTTCCCATTATCATCATCACCCCTCCTCCCCTTTATTTCCCTGACCCGGATGAACTAACTGTTGACCTGCTTCCCTATTGAAGCTTTCCTCTTGTAGATCACAGTGATGTGCCCGCTGGCCTCTTCTTAGTACACAGTCTTGTAGTAAGTAGTCACCGTTGCTGTGTATTTCCCCAGCCTTACAACGTGCTTCTTCTTGACTTCTGAACTCCTCTCCTCTCCTGCCTTCTAACCTCTTGGGCTGCCTCTCACACTCCTCCCTCCCGTACTTTATCCCCTACCTTTTCTCTGCATTTTTCTCTCATGCAGGTGCCTCCCGGGTCCACACTCTCAGGACTGACCTCTCCCCTGGTCTAACATCTATTAGAACTCTGCACCCAAATGTGTCCCCATCACCTTAAGCCCCACGTATTTTAGACTTCAGTGAACTTTTCTGCTCACTAAACTGCTTCCTGAATTTTATTCTCTCAAGGATAAGAGCATTCTCCCTTCCCTCCGGCTTGAAACCTTATAGTGCTCTTGGCCTCCTTGATCTTTTTCCATATCCAGGCAGGTACCAATTTCTTTCCAGCCTCACTGCCAACCCCTTACTGTGTGGACTTTTAGGACCCGATCATCCTGACCTCAGGTATCACAATAGTCTCCGAATTATCCCTCCCCTCTGCTTTTTCCCCCAAGCAATCCTACACAGCTTTTCCAAATTAATTGTAAACATAGGGTACGTGGTCAGCCTTTATTCTAAAAGCGTCGGTGGCTCCTTATCTCCATAGGACAAAATCTGGATATAATAGATCCATAAAACTGGTCTGTTACTTATTCCCTGAACATTGCTAAGCACACTTATTGGCCTTTTTTTTTTCCCTGCAGAAATTGTTCATCTTTATTTAAACCTCCCCTTCCTTCCTTCTGAGTCAAGCCTGTCTTTCCCTGTTACTTCAAGGCCTCAGATTTGAACTCCAATAGCTCTTTACATATACTTTTTCACTTTCAAGTTTATGCTGCATTGTAGTAGCAAGTAATTTTTATTTATTGTGTATAATGTACGGTATGCCTGGATTGCATCTCCATCTCCAGAAGGGGGCGTGCAGGAGGCAGCTGATCAATTGATTATCTCTCATCATTGATGTTTTTATCCCTCCCTTCCTCTCCCTTTCTCTCTGAAATCAATTAAAATATATTTTTTACAAAAAGAAATTACAGTGTTAAGGACTTAGTAGAGGTTATCACAGAGCACCATCAGTACCACATAGAGGGGCGCCTAATACAGACTTGGTCGATGGAGAATTCCTAGAGAAAATGATGTCTCAAAACTGAGCTCTGAAGAATGGGTGGAGGCTAAGGAGGCAAAGGAGAGAAGGCATGCGCCTGACCCAGAATCGAACCGTGACCTCCTGGTTCTTAGGTCAACCATTGAGCCACACTGGCTGGGCAACATTCTCTATTTCAGTCTTTTTCTAGTTGTTCAATAAACATTAGTTGAATGAATATGTCATTGCTGTGTTTTCTTCCCATATTTTTTTTAAGAAAAAATCACATTAAAATAAAAACTGGTATCTGTTCTTTATTAAGAATTCAGTAAAACATGCTGAAACCCCAAAGATGGAAGTGAAAAAACAACCCCAATCCCACCAGCCATAATAACCAATCACATTCGGTGAATATCATTTTGGGTAACTTAATATGCAAACATAAGAAGAGAAGCATGGGTAATGAAAAGATGGATAGAGGTACTTTTTTTAAAAAAAAAAAACAACAATCATATTTCAGAAACAATTTTAAATTTAATTTTACTTGAATTTCACAAAAGAAAAAGAAATCGAAGTTGATGGAATTGCTATTTCAT